TTCTGTGGTTGACAGTGACGTGCCCTTTATTAAGGCACTAAACCCCCAACTGCTCCAGTCGAGCTGCACGGTGGCCAAACACTGAACATCTAAAAGGGTATCTCCCTAACGTGTGATTATGTCAATGGGAGACGCCCTGCAGCAAATATGAAATTTCCAACCCAAGAGGCTGAGTGGGTGGGTGGGCGATTTTGGGATTTATTTACCTCCCCGAGGCGACGCAAAAAAAGATGAGAGACTGAACAAACCATTAATCTGCTACATTACAATTATAGAAGATTAAGAAACTTGCAGAATCAATGACAACTTATCTTTTTTAAAAGCATTTAATTATTACCACTGCACTGTTATCTCCAACATGTCTTATCTGTTTTACTATTATTATTGTTTTCATCTTATATTACTGTTTATATTTCTCCTTTTTTTAAATTTTTGTTTCATTTAAAATTGGCTGATTTTGTTCCCCTCATTGCATTTCCAGAAATGGTTGAATCCTGGTTTAACCATGTAAATCACTTCATGTTATTAATTGTCAGACTTTAAGGAGCCACAGCAGCATATCAGCTCATTCAGTTTCCATGGTGATTTTATACAGCAGATTATATAGCAGATTGATGACCTCTAGTTCTCCAATTTGAGTGACGTGAACAAAAAAAAACCCTCAAGCAGTCTGTTCAATAGTCCCAAAATATTGAACAGCTGTTTGCAAGGTGACAAAGTATTTCAACTGCAACTTGCTACAGTAGTTATTCACCGCATAATTTTAGATGCTGGCAGGTGGTTTCAAATAGGCTGAAAACAAATATCCGTCAGATTCATCCAGTTCTCTGAGCTGTATATAGAAATCTACATTATACAATAAAGTCGGTAGCTGCTGCAAGCTAACACAGCAGGGCTCAAAGCTAAAAACGCCAACATGCTCACAGCCTCAAAGCTAACAGGCTGATAAGCAGGTGTAATGTTTACCATGTTTATAATCATATTTTAAGTCGGCAAGGTGTATTTTACTCATTAGCAATGGGTTTTTGGTCATAAACCAAAGTATTGGTCAAACTAAAACTTTGATTGCTCTAAATTAAAAGTTCGGTGATTATAATTAATTCCGTCGAGGACGTGAATTTGTGTACCAAATTTAGTTTTAGTCTGTCTAATATCTGTAGAGACATTTCACTCAAAACCACGAGACAACCTGATAGTGGTGCTCGGAAACGTCAGAGGAGCACCGAAGTCTTTAAGATACATCGTCTGGGATATGAATATTTCACAGGATAAGTGAATATTTTGACTTGCTGGTGGTGCACTCAAAACCACAAATGTCAGCCTCATGGTGGTGCCAAAGTTAAAGTCAGAGCATCACTGGTTCATTAGGATTCATATTCTAGGCACTGTGGATGTCACAATTTCATGGCAATCCAAAGTGGTGGAAAAACAAATTAATCAACTAATTAACTACTGTGTATCAGGTGAAATGCTAGTTTGTTTTTTACTCCACCTAATGGGGGAAAAACCCAGCTGCCCATCTAGACTGGCTGCATGTAACACTTGATGAATACTCAAAATTTGTTCTTCTCAATCACAGATAAAGCTGGTCTATTTTCCATGGACGCCCTCCAAGATGTCTATCAGCCTGTGGACTCCAATTTAAAAACTCGTTGAATTGAATATTATTGCCAGACCACTCCAACTATCTCGTCTTGTCAGACCTCCACTCGCACAGCTCAGTCACACAACTAACACACAACCTCTCATCCCAGAGGCTAATACTGTCTGTGTGCATCCACCTGAAAACACATGATGGAAAAAACACTCCTAAAATATCAATAATTCCACCCATCAGTCAATCTCTCCCTGTTGTGCTTTTGATGTTATAACACATAAAAAATATTTTCCCTGTAATAAGATGCTGGCTCCAATTCAGACACACAGATGTATACGGATAAAGACATACGTGCACACACACCGACAAATTATATGAAAGTACACACTCACATATTTTAATTAGCAGCACTTTAGTGCAGAAAGCACTAAACCGTAGGATAATTAATCTCCACAGTCTGTGTTTTCACTGCTTAACCACCTCAGGGAGGGGCCTAGGTTGGTTTATCCTTTGTTGACTTCATCTGCTGGGAAACAGGAAACAATAAAGTTGAAAACCTTAAGAGGTAACAAGGGAGAGGTCGTCAGATTAATATGCTGTTGAAGGCAGTTGCTTGTGCATTACACTGATGGTCAATTCCCGCAGTCTGAATTTGGAATGCCAACAATCTCTGGCGGCTTCCTGTGTGTGTGTGTGTGTGTGTGTGTGTGTGTGTGTGTGTGTGTGTGTGTGTGTGTGTGTGTCTGTGTGTGTGTGTGTGTGTGTGTGTGTTTGTGTGTGTGAGTTCAGCTTGGTCACATACTTCTCCTCATTACAAATCCTCTCATGACTCTATGCAATTTGTGGCTCTGCTCTGTAGCCTTTTGTCAGCAGGCAGGCCAAGTACTGTCTCTCTCTGTCTCTCTCACTGTCCATCACTGCTCCTCAGTGTTTTTCTGTCAATCGCTCTGTCTTTGCCATTTCCGGGGACACAACCCCATCTGCAAATTGTAGTAATTAACCAAGAACGTCTGAGATTGTGTACTTCCTGTGTGGATGACGTCAGGTCTAGTCGTTCAGGGGTAAGATGACTGGGCTCTCTGTGCTCGTCAGAGCCACTTGGAGTAGCATACAATCGAAGGGAAATTCAAGAATGCAGAATCAGAGCGTGAACCCACAAAGGTGCTTCTAATCCTCCCGGCGTCTCGGCGGTAAAGGCCAAACGGATGATCAGATTGCTGAAATTGAGGCTAGACGTCCTGCAGTAATAAACCTGCCTGTGAGTGGGAGTAGATTGTCGAGATAAACTCCGATGGCAGTCTAATTTTACAAACAAGGCAGCAGCTGATTTGTCTTCATCTTGGCGAGATGTACACGTCTGTATCAGCGTCTGGATGACTGCTTTATTTGATGGATATGAAGGCTGATGGCGAAATGCAGGCCAGTGCAGCGGAGACGATGCTGCCCAATGCCCCCTCTGTTAAATACACACACACACACACACACACACACACACACACACACACACACACACAAACACTGGCACCACAAGACTAATCCTCTCCAAAGTGTCAGTGCGAACTGTAGGGGCACAGCAGGTCTTGTGCCCCTGCTGTGGGTGATGGCCTCATTTCTACTGCTCATTTCCTGCCCTGGGCACCACCTTCCTACAGCTCCACTGTGACTCCTGTGTCCATCTAAAAAATGTCCCACCTCATTTTTCCTGCTAATAAGAATACAATACTGAAAATCTTTTGGGTATCAAATATTCACATCCCTGTAGGCTTGAAAAGCTGGCTGTGAAAGTTTGTTCCTTGCTCTTGTGCAGAGAAGTGCAGTAGCTTGGATTTGCACAGAGGTTACGATAGATTACAGTGAAAATGGAATATGAAAACAGAAACTTCTCAATCCACTTCTGCAGGATAACCCACATCTCCATCACTGATCCCTATCTTCAGTTTGTTTCAAACACTAATAGTTTCACCACAACAAAGATACAGTATGTTGCACTATTGCCCTGAAGTAGCTTCAAGAATAGCAGTAATTTAGTGATTAGTTGGCAAAGTGATAAGGTTACCTTTTTGTACAGGTTACATGAGCTGTGAGCAGTTAAACCAGTTTTTCAAGGTGTCATGAACTTAACCTCTCCTGTATTTTACATAAAAAAGAAAAGCCAGTTATGTTTTTGTCTAGCTATCTTGCCAATGACTGACCTTCTTGCGACCCCTTAGTGGGTCCCAAACCCCAGGTAGGGAACCACTGGTCTAGAATGTACTGACTGCACGGATCAATGGTGGTGGAGAATATTATGCTACAGGAGTGGCTTCAGAAGTTTCCAAAGAAATTTTAATACATTTTTATCACCCCTTTTGCCATAACTCCATTGTGAATCCATTGTAACAGCTTTAATTTAAATTCCAATCGACAGTTTCTGTCCCCTGCAAAGGAACAAGCTGAAAACGTTTCAGAGTCACTTTTCAAGTCTAAAGCAGGCGAGACAAAAGATATATTTCAGGTGGAAATACATAAATATAAATATACTTCCCCCACACGCTCTCTGTCACTTCCCCTTTTGTTTCTTGTCTTAGCTTGTTTCTCTTTTCATCTATTCTAGTTTCTCTGACATCTCATCCATCATTTGAGCTCATCCTGTCTATGGTCTAATGTCACCAGGGATGTAACAAAGGTTTAGTTACCAGACAACGCTGACAGTTATAAAGGTAAAGCTTTCAGTTGCTGCCAGAGTGTTTTGACTTACAGATGGACCTGTCCACTCTCACCTCTGCCTAAATGCTGTCAGGATACAGCAGCTTGCCAACTGCAAAAACACTCCTGACAGAAAGTCCTGCTGCCTAAGAGAAACTGTCTAGACTGAGACTGACCAATGGACTGTTTTACAGAAACAGCTCAGAAAAAACAGCTTTGAAAGGTCTGGAGTGCCAGGATCAACTGGATAGCCAAATTGTTCTCTGCGGATGAAAGAGCTCACATGTCATGTCATCTGTCATACTGAATAGACTTGAAACTCCTGTACAGTAAGGAGTCAGTCATTTAAAACTCTACATCAGTCCTCTGGTGCTGCTGCATTGCAGTACGTTTTTGTTTTTGCCAGCTGAGAGGTCTGCACAGTGTGCACATTACCTTAAAAGACTGACTCATTCTTCAGGCTGCAGTGCTGTTTGACTTGCAGAGTAACATGAGAGCAAAGAAATGACATTAACACAGGAAATGGACTGTTATTTACAGATATGGATTTTGAAGGCTTGGAGAGAAAAGCAGATGGATGGGAAGTTGTAGAGAAAAGAGGTTTGAGCATTGTGAACAATTGATTTGCTCCATGTTAGCATAATGAGACAGTTGGTTGCAGTCTGTAATAATCACATGATTTACCTCTGATGCCATCAGTGAAAAAAAGGAATGAAACTTTCTGTCCTTTCCCTATACAGTCAAGCTGTTGCTTTATTTTACTTTAGTGAAAGTACAACAAAATAGTCCTAACATTTTACCACTTTATTTTCCACAAAGAAACATCTTTAAAATAGTGACAACAGCATTAACTTCAGTGAGTCAAACTGACACAGTTGGAGTTGATGACAAAATAGTGTTAAATGAGCAAAATAAAATCAGATATGTTGTGACTTCTTTTTTTTTTCTTCTAAAATGCACTTGTGGTAGTAATGCTCACACACACCTTCACAATATTTCAGTGTTACAACATCTCATTTCCGGATCCTAATGTTTGGTTTGAGCCATCATTCATCTAATCACTAGAATCCCTTTTTAGCATTACTGTACATACAGGTTTTCCTCTCAAATATGGCAACAGGAAGCCACTTCAGACAGTGCAGCTAGACAATTAGTCCTCGTGTCCGCTGAGCAACACTGTCTTTGAAAACAACAAGCTTCATCCCCAGATGTCCTGCTTCTCCTCACATGCACTTCACTCTCCTGACGATCGCTGCGCTGCCATCCTCTTATTAGGGCGGTTTCAGGAAATTAATTCCTCTTTAAATACCCAGGACTAGACGGCACTTCCACTATCACAGCTTCCTCATATCCAGAGGGTTAGTCCAATTTGTCATCATTTCAAAACAACACAAATATGTAAACAGCATAGAAAATATGCACACACGCGACAAAAAGAAAAAAATCCAAAGCATTTCTTTCCACAGCGCAGTTTCTTTTTTCCTCACTCCTCTGCAGTGCAAAAAATAAAAATACGAGGAAAAAAAAAACAACAAAAAACAATAAATAGACTTCCTCTGCTATATATTTCTGTGTTTATGTATATACATATATATATATTTATAATGAGTGGTCTCTACATGAGCACACAGCTCTTGGCCCGGTCCTTCCTCATGGCCGGGGCCTGGTCCATTTGCTCAGTCCGACCCGGCAGGGGAGGCAGGGGGAGCTGTGAGACTCGCTTCAGGCCTCTGCGGGAGCTGCTGCGTTTTAGCTGTGGCTTATGGGGCCGCCGCACGGACGCTAACGTGGTGACATGGAACACGTCCCGAACGCTGTTCTCTGAAACCTTGGAGGTGCACTCTACGTAGGCCACCGCCGCGATCTGTCGAGCTATCATGCTGCCCTGGAACACAGAGACAGGAAGGGAGACAGTTAGTAAGCAAACAAACTTTATTTATGCAATATTTTCCAAAACAAAATTACAAAAAATATATTTATGTTGTGGTTTTTCTCCTTTCACTGGTTTTCAGCGGTCTTGTGTTTTGCTTCTTTCCTAATACAATTCCAAACCATGACAAAACAATGTCTTTTCTCATTTCCTAAGGTTTTTAGAGGAGTTAGACATGAGTTTACTCCATAGCAAGGTGCTGCGTGAGCGCTTCACAAAGAAAATGAAATCTCGCAATATGCATCCCATCCTTCATTGTAATTTGGCATCAGCAGGTAGTACATCTCAACAGCAGAACACTAAATGTGTCCCAGAAAGAGGCAGCAGTCTGAGACACAGATTCCGATCTAAATTGTAGAAAATGTCAATGGTCTTAAAGATGTCTGGAGACAAAAGAAGCTCCTTCATCTGAGGCATAAATAATGTAGATGCTCTGACTTCCCAGTCTGTGGCAAGAGGGAACAGAGCAGCACAGAGCAGCACAGAGCCCACTGGGCCTGTGTTGACATGGTCTATGCAGCTATTTAGAGAGAAGAGACTAAACTCCTCCATCAGTAGAGCTTACCCCTGAGTAATGTTACAATATACGCGGTTAATTAAGACCGTAAATTGTTTGCTTGAGATCAAATCAGAGACAAATTTAATTTTGAAGTCCCTCGGCCTTTTTCTTCGCTACAGTCCAGTCTTGTCTTGTTTCATGATCAGACTTTAAACCCACATTCACGCAGGATCGACACATGCAAATGTTGTAACAGATGAGACAGGGCCACATTTCCCATGACCCAAAAATCGCATGCCCTCCAACACAGAGAGCTTTGTTGTTTGATTTTTATCGTGGGCTGTGCACTGAGCCACATATAAGAAGCAATGAAGTCCTCATTAGGTGGAACGGCGGATTTGGGATTCAGGGGTGGCGGTGCGAGGGGGCTGAGGTAGAGATTGTTGTGACGAGCGGAAAAGCTCGATCTGATCTCAGGCAGATTAGTTCTGAAATGTCTGGAGTTCACCCAGTGGTCACTCTCGCCGGTGACTCTTCAGCTGTGTTGGAATTCAATTTAAGATCAACAACAGGATAACAACACAGTCTATTGGATTAGAGCACTTAAATGTTTATTGTGCACAGCTTTGGCATCTGCTGTGTGACACACATTTTGTGGGCATGTTAGAGTGGCAAACAGTAGTTGCCTCCGATGAAAATAGTGACTGAGAAGGAGAAAAACAATAGCTTAATGTAGGCCTGGCCACAAACTGTCCCCAGCTATTTTACATTAGCTCTGTGGTTTGCCACTCTATCTTTTGTTTATGTATCTTATTTACATGAACTGTCTGTTTTCAGTTGCTGATTTTTTGGAGGCTGCGTGCTTTTAGCCTCCGGCAAGCTCTCAGACAGTAGTCGAAAAAAAGGCTCCTTTGTTCTGAGGGCTTTTGTGTGGTGGTGAAAAAGCCCCTCCACTTTTTGTATGTCCAACACGGGAGAGCACAAAATGAACACGCTGAAAGCTGATTAAAATTCACAGATTTACAGAACAGTTTATCACCCCCTCCCACTTCTTCCCATCCCCTTGGCTTAGAGGTCATGGCGGCATGCGATAAAAGGGCTCACTCATTTATCAATGTCCGTTTTTCTATTCATCCTGCATTTTGAAAATCCCTAAATCTGCATGAATATTTCATTTCAGGGAAAAATGTGTCCCTCGACATAAACTCCACTAACTGCCCGTGCCTCTCCCACAGCCCTCGCCATAAGCAACCTTACATCGCTTGTCAGCAAATTTCGGTCAAAATGCCAACCCCAGCAACATGTCCCCGAGGGGGTTTCACACAGCTCTTATTCTGTGGTGGTTGATTATGTTGCGTGAGCCTCCTCTCACACTCCCTTCCTGTGGGAATTCACCAGAGAGGCAATGCCACTGCTGATCCAAGATGGAAAAATCGTATATAATCGCTGGATTGCTTTCTAATTTCTTTTCCGCATCCGTTGTTGTTTTCAAGTCTGTCTTCCTTCCTGGGGCAACGTCTCTCATTATTTATCCCACTCCTTTCTTCTCACATTCCATCATCTGCTTGTTCTCACCTGCTCGTGGGTGACAGGGATGAGGCGCTGCTTGGAGAGTTCCCTCAGGGTGTTGACGTCTGTCCTCATGTCCAGCTTACAGCCCACCAGCACCACTTTGGCGTTGGGACAGAACTCCTGCGTCTCCCCTTGCCACTGTTGAGACATGAACCGACAGAGACACAGAAACACATCACTGACTCTGTCAAATATGAGAGCTGCCTGTACTGACTGGTGGGCTACTGAGATACAGTGACAATGTTCGGCTACTCTGACACTGGTTACCTGAGCTTTAGGGAGAATAATGCATGTCTTGAATTTCCCTTTGGATAAATAAAGTATCTATCTATCTATCTATCTATCTATCTATCTATCTATCTATCTATCTATGTCATTTTATTCAGAAAGTAGAGAAAACTCAAGCACAAAATCCAAAGATATTGAATTTACTTTCATGTAAGTCAAATAAAAACAAATCCTCTCAACTGAGAAGCTGTACAAGAGAATATTTGTCACGATCAAACAATTAATTGTTTTAATCATTTCACCTTTAAGTAAAAATATTGTTTATAAAGGCACATCTTATTTTTTTTATAATTCCATGGTGTTCACTGTTTCAGTGTAAAATTAAAGTTTCATCACACTAGCTTAAGCACCATATGAAAATAAGACAACTTTAATCATGCCAGCTTGGTTCAGGTTTCTGGAGTACTTCATGTGTGTTATACCTTCCTCACGCAGCCTCCGTCAACAAATCTATTTCAGGTTCTGCACAGAAAAGGTTGAGCAGTCTCCCTTCTAAAATCACCCTGAGATTAAATGTCACTTCTGAAACTCAGCTGAACCAACACAGTCTGTCCTCCTTGCGACACAAATACACAGCAGCAGCCGACAGACCTGAAATATTCCACATGCCGTGTGCAGAATGTCAGAGTGTCCATTCATCCTTCACGTTGAATACAACCTCTGACCTTTCAAGCCATCCCTATTCTGCCAATAACATCCAATCCAAAGCTTTGATTGTTTAACCCTCTCTCCTCCCTCAGCTGTCATCCAGAAACCTTGGTGACCCGCTTGTTTCTAGAGGTCAAGAGTCTAATTTGGGACGGTGATTGTGCAACAGGTTTTCCATGTGCCCCTGAGTTTCAGAGATTACCAGGGCGACAGCCAGGGGTCAGGGGTCATGGCAACCCCCTGCCAAGGGATTCATGGGAAAACCAAAAGCTTGACGGCAGCTCTGCTTCCCCCTGTTGACAGAGTGCGCTGAGGCTTGTGAGATATTTGTGGGTTTAAAAAAAGGTGTCTCGGGTTAGATCTACAAAGTCTGCAGGGGTATTTTAGCAGCTCCCCTCAGACCACTAAACACGTCAACAGGCCAGCCGTGGGAACTGTCTTTGGCACACAAGGAGCGCAGTTCAAAGGCAAATGCTCACACATGGCTTCAAGATGAGAGACCACAAGAGCACAGGCCTGTTTTACATGACACACATGCACTCAAACAAACCTATTAAGTTGGGTGTCTCTACATATACAATAGGTATTACCACCGGCTGTAAAAGCACATCCACGACCACAACCCCGCCCGGCCAGTACCACACTTCAGTCGCCACCCCAATCTCAACTCCACTACTATAACATCTGAACCATAAGCCACCTTGCAAATGTTAACTGCCACCATCTGCCCAACTGTTAAATCGCTGCATAAATCTCAGATTTAAAATTTTAAATGCCTACAGAAGGGCAATTCTAGTTCAGAACAGGCTCTGCAGCAGCTCTTCTTTGATATGGCTGGTATGGCTAATTTGCGTATCTGATATCCCTCTCGAACCCACCCGGCTCTCCTCTCATTCTTCATTCTGACCTTCCATTCCTCGAAGGGATGAGGGTCAAGTATCCATGGACATTTTGATGAGATAAAGGAATGAGAGGCTCTAACCTCTGTGCTGATTTGCTCTATTGTTGAGGCGTGAAAATGCAAGCTGCTGGCACAGAAATCTGAGTGGATACAAGATGCTGATCAGGAAAAACTGAATTTTTTCCGGTGAGTTCTCCAGTGTCACAGCAGATATTAAATGCTGATCCGAAGGGTTGAGAGGAGGAGATGAAATAAAACACACTGACCTTCTTTATGACACTGTCCAAAGTCTCTGGGCGGCTGATGTCGAAACAGATGAGAACCGCATCTGAATCAGGATACGCCAGCGGCCTCACATTGTCGTAATAAGATGAACCTGTGGACACACAATAACATATGGCATAAGGTCAGGGTGCCTTTTGAGAAATTCCTGTGTGTACGGTTTTTAACCAGCTTAACCCCATGAGGTTCTTCATCCCAACCATATGGCTTATTCTGTCAATTAGAAACATGCTGCACATCCCTGGAAGGTGATCTAAAGGTCATTAATACATGGAGAGTCCATTAAAACAGAGCCTGTGACATGAACCTGGACATGCTGCAGCTTGAATGCACTCTGCAGATGCAAATTGGTCTTGATCTTAACAGTTGTGTGCACATATTTGAGTATCTTTGTCTCTTGGGCTTCCACACAGCTGTGGCCTCCCTTTATCACAGCGCTTCATGAGGAATGTCGAGGGGTTACTCAGACAAGCACACACACACAAACTCAAAAGTGAATTATAGTGGGTTGAGGACCGGAGGACTTGTGCACACAATCCATTATCATCTTGAAACAACAGCGAATGCCAGCACAAAGGCCAAACTAAAGGTTGAACCCCTTAATTCTCTCAACTCATCCCTCTTCCTGTCTCTCTTGGTCCTTGTATTAAAATCTTCCATTTTTTGTCTGACTGTACGAGATTCACATGCACTCACACGCCTCTTCCCACTCTCGCTTTTCATTTCTGTACCTTGATCAAATTTGAAGGCAGAGTGGTGCCTCTGTACTTTCACAAGCTGCTCAGTTACACGGGTCCTGCTCTCTTACAGCTCTCATTAGGAGGCTTGTAAAAATATCTGGGCTTTCTGGGAAATGTGGCTGTGGCTATGGGCACCCTCCCTCCTGCCACCCCTGGGAGCTGGAACGGAACTGAACTCTTAAATTTCGATAGCAATAGCACCCTTGTTGCATACATTTAGTGTCAAGAAAACTCACAGGTTTGGTGAGAAATGACCAAATTTTACACTTACAACTGCTAGAAATAGTGTCATAGAGTCACATAGTGTAGATGGATGTAACACTCATTCGTATATAAAACATCTCCAATATAACATTAAATCCCTGAAAGGACCAGTGTGTAGGATTTAGTGGCATCTAGTGGTGAAGTTGTGAACTGTAACCATTTGAGTACTGCTCAGTTTTCTAAGCATATGGGAAAAACTATGGTGGCCATGAAACTCGAGAAAAACACAAAAGGCCCTAATTAGAGCCAGTGTTGGGTTTGTCCTTTCTGGGCTAATGTAGAAATATGGCAATTCAACACCTGTGGTAGAGGAGCCACTACTCTCTGTAGATAAAAATGACTCAATGTAAGGTAACAGCAACACAACTGTTCTTATTTTCAGATGATTATAATGAAAACATACCTATGAATATTATATTCCATTTCTGCCAATAGATCCTCCTAAATGTTACAAAATGGATCTTTAAGGTCACACAAAGCGATTATGATAATTTTAGATTATCTTCACACTTGCGGTTATCGTGCTTCATACCAGACCGGACACAATAGGCAGTCAGCTGGTTAAAGCGTCTGGTGGGGTAAATGGAGTCTGCACAATGGCGCTACAGCCTGTTTTAGCATTACTATGTTCTCTTTGTTAATGATGGAATGAGACTATGACAATGGCTGCACGCGGCCCGTAGCCCCCGTCATTCAGCTGGCTGTCCTATGGTGACCTGCTACCTCCCCACAGAGAACAATGCAACAGGCTGCACATTCAAGATTGATGCTTTTTGTGCCTCCAAGAGAGCGGAACAGTTTTGATTACGTTCTGTTTCTCACCAGAATGCACTTTGCCATCAAGGGCTCAAAAATATCCAACCAGAATTTCTAAAAAAATCTTTTTAAACATGTTTATGACGGCTTGCAGTCGTTTATTTCTCTCCTTTTGTGGCATTGACATCACACTTGATATTGCCCTCTGGAGTCAGCACAGATATGTAGCCTTTCGCATCCTTGTTCATGGCGTGTATATCATAAATGTATTAAGATGACTGGATACCGTGTTACTAAATGGTGCCCTATTGATTCTGATGAAACTTGCTCACTGCATATACTGTAAAATGTCTTAAGTATTGTCGGCATTTTTGGGCTTATGGAGCATGTGCATTAGAAACCTCCTCTGGTTGACTCAAAGGGCAATAAAACAATACACTGATACTGCTCTTGTAAACATTTTCTTATTGGTCCTAATGGCTTAAATTTTGGAAAATTAAATTGTGATCGTACAGATCCTTTTGTCATTCATTTAGGGCCCCTGCACATGACATTTGGCAATTTCAACTGTAATACTCCTAATAATACAAAATTACTACAAAACCTGCAACTGTCCTGGGGTATTGGTGCATGTGAAAACAATACAGGGACCGACACAACAAAACATTGCTCTTTCCAGCACCTCTAGTGGTCAGAAATTTCACAAGGTGATGCCTTGAAACTCCCTTAAGTTTAGCTAAAAATGTTTTATACTAAATTCTTTTGACAATCTTGTTTCTCCAGCTTTAAAATATGCTGTACACGGTAATCATATCTTCAGTGTAATATCAAAGAAAGAAAAAGAAAATGTCATTTTAGCCTACACCTTACAGGACATTATCAGGAATTCATAGTCCCCTCCTTGTCTTATTAACACAAAATTGCTACTGTTTCATACTGCTGAGAGAGCAGGACTAACACGCACACGCACACACACACACACACACACACACACACACACACACACACACACACACACACACTCCAATCATATGGATGCCAAGTCCAACAGTCAGCAAAGCACACATTGTACGACAGCAAGCTCTGATTGGTGGTGGTCACACATGAGGTGCTGTAGCTGCTGAAGTTGGTCTTTAGTATGTATCACAGTGCAGCAGACCTGTACTGAGGTTAGAGCTGAAGAAGAAAAGAGACAGAGCATGTGGGGGGGAGAGGGGACAGAAAGGATTTAATGACTTTGATGCTGGGGTGAGGGCAAGGTACAGAAGCATGCGATGATGAGCGAAGCAACCGGGGAATTAAAACAGAATCCAGATGAAGGGGAAGAGATGTCAGATGAAGGAAAGTTGAGACAATGCTGGTGCTGGTTTGACTTAAGATGTAATTAGAGGCTGGAACGAGACTGTTGGGATCAATTTGTCAATCCCAACGATCAAAATGATTGACAGGTCACGGTCACAACAGGCCTTGTCACAGCACAGCAATTCAGAGCTCTTCTGCCCTGAGCGACAGGGATGCTACCTCAGCACTTCTGCAAAGTCAGAAAAAAAAGCCCTCTGAGGGAAAGAAGAGGAGAAAAAGTGCTGTGTTTAAAACACGCCGAGGCAGGCACAAATAAAAGCCAATCACCATAACGATCAAAAACATGGGGAGGAGGAAGAGGAGGAGGAGTAGGAGGAGGAAAAGGAACAAAGAGTTTTTTCTCCTCATTTTAAAATATATCACCTCTACTGCCTGAAATGTACTTGCCCCCCTCCCTACCAGCTAAGAGACATGACCACAGATAAAAGAGGATGTAGCGGTAGAGGGGTGGAGGAGAGGGGGGTGTGTGTAGTGGGTGTTTGGGTAGGTAATGAAAGCGCTGGACTGGCTGGACAGATCAAATAAAGAGGTATGAGAGCTCTGGGTTGGCTATTGGTGGAAGTGGCCTGTGCCCATTCACTGTGAGGTGGAACAAAAGGTCAATTGAATTTCAGACAGAGGCAGGATAAGATGGATGGGGCAGGAGGGTGCGGGAGGGGAGCACAGCCTGGCAGGAACCTCTAAAAACCATCATGCCTGGCAAGGAGCAGGACCCTGCCACGCCGTGCCAAGGACAGGCATAAAACACCCCACACAAAAGTCCTCCTCGAGCATTAGCATTAGCCTGATCTAGCACCGGCATTCTCTCACAGTGGAAAGTAGATCTCTGGCTTTCATTTCCACAGGGCTAATTAGCATTAAGCCGCGTTGCAGCGCCATGCAGGAGGCTCCGCCGAGCAGAGGTGACAGAGGTGGGAGGCAAGCGTTCCTCGCCAGTCGTCAGTTGAGCTTCATCAAAGGCCAGAAATATCCCAGAGGATGTTGAGGCGGACAGGAACTTAGTGGAGCGCTAATGTACAGTAATAAGGCTTGAAGGTTTGTGGTATGACTTCATTTATGCCTCCCGTCCCCTGACAGTTGGACTAGCCTGGAGGGACAATCTGTCTGAAACATGACAGCTCTCTATCTGCTGAGGACAAACAATGAAATAAGCGTTATAATAAAACATAAATGGTGAAGTTTGACGGAGATTCTTCAGGAAACCTGTGAAATTGAAGTGTGCATCAGCGTCTAACAAAGCCTTACAGTCTTCAGTGCATTAATCTGTACCATCACAGCAGGAATTTTCTCTTTCTCTCTCAGTTTGTTGCACGCTCATTGCAGACGCAGCTAAAAAGCAAGCCATTATGAGTGAGGGGAAAAGAATAGTCTTTGCCTCGAGGCTCTCTGATGTGTTCATGCACATATGGCAGGGAGTCAACAGCAACTAACAGCCTCATTAGGCCATATAGACACTCTGAAAAACACCCATGCACACAAACAAAGGCGGGGTATAAGAAAGCAAACACCCTCTCAAATGTCTCCAAATAAACGAAAACAGTTAGTCTGATTGAGTTAGCTGCAACCTTAGAAAGCACAGCACATTCAGCACCACATACACTGCGTCTGTTTTCTTCTCCTGCAGCTGTTTTCCTCTTGAAATCCACCTTCAAAGCTAAGGCAAAACATTTCAAGTTGGGGTGGCCGAGTATCGTAGCAACCTGGAGGGATGCAAATGGCTTCATTGTGAGGCCCTGAAAGGAAGTAAAGAAGAAGAGAGCAGGAGAGCGAGGGGATCACGGAGGCTAATGACTCCGGTGCATTGATGATCAGAGGTGACTAAAAGTAGAGAAGAAGAGGGTTGGTGCTCCATCCTTTCAGAGGTTAGGCAGACTTTTCATTGCTCAAGGTCTGGTCTGCGCTGTGAACTGTTAAGGTTTCCCCTCAGTCAGGGTTCTTACTCGAACAGAGATAAACACACTGCTGCCAAGAC